ACGCGCTCGCTCTCGTGCATGTATCCCACTTGCTCGCATAGCGCCAGAAACCCGCTGGTGTAGTCTTGGACGGAACCGAGTTGGCGCCAAGTGCGGAGCTTCTGTCGCGCCGCGATCGAAGCCGCAATTGGCTCAAATCGAGCGCGCAGACCTGCGCACCACGCGTCCCACGTGCGATATTGGGGCACCTCCACGAAATACGACGGCGCCCAGGGTCCGGTTTGTCCTTCCCGTGTCGGTAGAGTCGCGTAGTCATTCGGCTTCGTGACGATGACACGCCACCAATCCATGGCGGGTCCTCGCAGCAGCGACACGGCGTAGCGAATTTTCGCCGTATCCTCCGAGACGTAGTTGGCGTCGAAAAACACGTTCATCGTGAACAACCACGCCTGAACGGTAGGACCACCCCGTTGACTCGGGTCAAAGCATGGCGGACGCTGCGGCTTCAGCGGCATCGGTGACGGCAGCTCCAAATCGTGTGTCGGTGCGGAAATCGTGACGCGAGGCTGACTTGGGGCCGCATTCGTCGCTTCGGGGTGTGTCGCGCCGTGGTCGTCGTCTTCGTCGTGGCGGACGACGCCATCACCAGCCGCGCTCGCGGGTCGCCCCACACTTCCGTGTTGCGATGTCTGTGGTGTGGGCGGTACCGGAGTGCCAGGTGCTTGAGATTGCACTTGTTGTGCCCTCGTGAGGTCGTTTTGCAGGGACGAGCGTTCTGCCGTCAGCGCCGCGATTTCTTCGGAGCTTTCGCGCAGCTGTCGCAGCAGATCGTTCAGCCGCTCTTGCGTGAGGGTGGTGACGTCAACGTGTTCAGCCATTGCGAAGGGCGTCGGCTCAGCTTAGTCTAGGCGCAGTCGTGGCTGCACGCGTTTACGAGAGAACGCGAGGACAGCGGCTCCTAGGGGCTAAGGTGCGTGCGTCCCTTCGAGTGAAAAATCAAAAGTTGATTTCCTGGGGTGCGGAGATGCGCGGTCCGAAAAGGAAAGAAGCTCTGATACCAAGTGTTACGGGTGCAATGGATCGAGGTAGCGAGGATTGCACTAGAGTGTCAAACGAGTACAAAGATGTGAGCGAAGGCATGAGCGAACATTTGTATGCGAACATGCAAACGGTAACGCGGTGCGTGCGAGCTAGCTAGTGCTACGCTGGCAATGAGGCTCGGGCTAGTCCCGAAGCGTAGGCCGACACGGCCGGGCCAGCAGTGCGAGGTTTGGTAAAACAGTGCGCGCGAAGTGGCGAAGTCCCGTTAGCAGTAACGGGCGAACAAACGGCAGTGTTGTACGCGATGTAGCCGGGCTCTGTAAGGAATGCCGAGAAAATTCCTTACAGTACCCCATAACAGGACCAAGTGACCCTAAGTAACCAGGTTGGAACTGAGGTCGAGAAGTGTCGAAGCGGAGGCCCGGAGCGCAGGCTACCAGCCGAGCCGTGAGGTTGGGTTGCGACGGGCGAGGTGGCGGGAAATAGTCGAGACGAGTATCGCGAGTGATAACGGTGCTAGATGTGGTGCTACTGTACTGTACGCACTAAGCAGGGATGCGGCGTAAGGAAAAGGGAATCACCTTACACCATCCGTGATAGCACTGTGATCACCCGCGATAGAAAATTATTGTACTATGACTGTTCGTGATACCTTTGTGACCAAACGAGATATAGTCAATGGCCATTACAAGAACACCAAACAGGCGGGCGGCATGCAGTGAAACGCGTTTTGGCATTTCGCTCGATCGCGCGTAGTTTTGCTCTTGTCGCCCCAGGCAAAATTGTGACTCAAAAATGAAAGTGCAATGAAAGTGGAATGTGGGGCTTTAATTTTGTAACCAGGTCACCACTCTGCTGACGTGGATCTTTTGTCGTTTGTGCACGGTAGAGGTTGACTGTACATAATGCTCAATTCTGTCACCCCAGGCAAAAAACGTTAGCGAGTGGTAACTCTAAAATTGTGCGAGCAATTTTTTTGTGATAGGGTGAGCACCGACTGTTATACAGGTAGAATTGTGACTGCCTATATAATTTCCCCAGTTGCCATGCCACCGAACCCTGGTGACACGGTTATGGGCGGTTGGTTAAGTCTGGCTCAGCTGCTCCGAATTGAATGAAACAAGATTGGCCTGCCAAATACATCTGAGCCAGACACAAGATGCGCGTTCTAGAACTACTAGTTGTTAGGCATAGCTGGAGTTTGAAGCCAGCGGCCCGCGTGGATTGCAGCATCTACAGCGTTAGTCGTAACCTCAGGTTGCAACACGACGTCGTCGTCGTCGTCGTTGTCGTACACATCTTTATTTCTAGTATGACCTATTTCTGCGCTTGTATAACCATCTGGTAGCCTCAAAGTTCCGTGGAGGCATTCCGCAAGCCGAAGTGGTCCAGTCGGTAAGGTCACCTACTTCGTGAGTAATGTTATACCGACCTTATCTTCAAAGCCTTTCCATCTGTGAGGTGTCACTCGCAGAGTGGTTGCGAATGGCAGCAATGGCCTACGTGTCACTCCGAGACATGCAACGAGCGGCCTAAAGTCGCCGGTCGAGAGGCTGGCCGCCGCCGTCGCCGCTATCCTCTCCTTCATGCCTCACCAGACAATGGACAATACGTCTTGCTAGAGTCGAGTGTGACTCTTCACAGATATGATAGGTATTTGAGAAGCCACAATCAGCTATGTCCGCAGCTGACTGACACATTTTAACGTGGTTCTGCCAATCTAGCAGCAAGTTATTTTCACAGTCCACTCGATTGGTTTAGGTGGACACCCCTGAGGTCGAGAGAGCATGGGGTTCCGCTGCGCGTCACTCCTCTGCCGCCTGCTGCTCTGTACAAAGCTTGAATTCTGACTGGCCTGTTTTCTGCCTCCGACTGAATGAAGTCGTTCATCCCTCAGGCCGTTTTTCCGGTTCGTCATTTGAGAGAGATTCGTGCCCCCATACCGTGACATTGAGATTTCTCAAATCCGCTTGCCTGTCCGTTTGTCTGGGATGTCTGTCTGCCTGTTTGCCTGCATGCCTGCAGGTGCGGCGGTCTGCACTGCCTACGGCGCGTCGGCCACAGCGCCGCTCCTCCCTCGCCTTGGCAGCTCTTCTGTTGCTTCTGAGGCTTCTACCGCTTCTGCTACTCATGCCACGCCTGAGTTTTATAAGGGAAAGACAATTGGTAAGTGTGTGTTACTTAAATCCACACCTCTCTGGGGAGGCACGGCTGTTTTCCAGCTGTGGCTTTTAAAGTCCGGACCAGCGTTAGCTGTACACCTCGTCGATTGTAATATGTTTTGCTCCACCTAAAGTGCTGGCCACATCAACTGTGTGACTGTATGCTTCCGCCTCTGTATTGCCACCCAAGTGCTATGTCTGCTGCTGCTGAGTCTGCTGCGCCTGCTGCAGCTGATTCTGCTGCAGCTGTGTCTGCCGCAGCTGAATTGCGGCATCATTCACTCCCCCCCGATCCTTCGCATTCCGAGTCTGCTATGCTGCTCTTCGGTTTAAAAAAGCAGCTACGAACCTTTTCGTCTTCCCATTCCCTCTCGTTCCCTGTTCCCTCCCCCTGTTCCCTCCCCCTGTTCCCAGTCAAATACGTGGTGAAGCTTCGTCCAACCACGGCCGCCGACAAAGGAGCTCGGGCAAAATTTTTCTACGCTATCAAAAAGTACGCTGCCAACTCCGAATTGTTCACTCGTCCGCACCTTCACTTGTCTACACTCCTTGGTGCCACGCTTACCTCCTGCCTGAGCAAGTCCAGTGGGGTCACAATCAGTTTTGTGAGTCCTTTGGCTTTTGCACTGTTGCGAATGGTGAGAACTCGTGGCACGGGGCCCTTGTTCCCCCGCACTGTCCCGTGGCGTCGACTTTTGCGAGTGTTGCAAGCAAGTGTCTCAGGCAATACGGATCCCACTCCGCCGATGCTGAGAGTCTTGTGGAGTCACAACAGCGCTTGAGTCACAACAGCGCTTGAGAGTCTTACAAGTTGAACCTCATCTCTTGTTTTCTTGACGTCCAGACGACCAAGGGTTTGCACTGGCAGTGAGGCAGTATGTTTTCAGGAAGCAATGCCTCTATGCAGTGCACGGTCTGTATCTCTGTTAGGAAGAATCCATGCAGTGCCCTGGAAGTAGTAAGGCAGCTCTCTAACACTTGTCTCCCATTCCCCATGTCCACAGGTTTTCTTCACAATCCTACTCCATATCTAGTCATATCTTGATCTTGAACATCAAGGGAGGAGATCTACCGACATATTTGTTCGGGGATTCCTGCACTTTAGATCCCCAGGTGCCGGTTCCTTGTCTGAACGTCACAAATCCCAAGTCTACTCGCAAGCGCTACAACTGGAAGTATGACGGAGCAAGCAGCTACACCAGTGAGGCATCAGCACGCGGGGTTCTTACCGGTATGATAGTGAGAGGCAAGTATGTAGTTGTGGGACGTGCAGGCAGCAATAACGCGCTTTGTGGTAAAGTTGTTAAGTATGGGAATTAGTGAGCAGTTGGTTTGAAGGCTAGAAATGGCATTGCTAGGGTTTCATGCCGTGGTGTGGTTGTTGAGAGTTATGGAGATGCATGCGGATACGGTACCGTAATATATATTTCAGGAAGTTTCCTATTTGGATGGACAGACAGAGGAATAGTTCTAACGTGTTGCCCGTACCACAGAAATGCCTCTTGCCGTGTGAGTGAGCCTCTTTTCTCTCATACTGGTAGAACACATTACCACCATACTGATGTTGCAAACTCATAATACGTTTTGCATAATATAGACAAAAACCATTACCATCCTTGAACCGGCTACTGCTGCTCTGCAGCAGCCCTTGCTCCCTATATACCAGCAACTCACGAGCATACAAAGACCTCACATCACATGTGACACACAACAGAAATCGACATCCGAGCATGTTCTTTCATGCTCCTGCTCCCTACCGCTCTTCTTTCCTGCCCCAGCTCCCTCTGCTTCCTTCTTTCCTGGTTCAGCTTCCTCTGCTTCCTCCTTTCCTGCTTCAGCTTCCTCTTGCAATTTTTTTCATTCGAGGCCAGAATCAACCTGCTGCTCCTGCTGGTTTTGCTGGTCCATTTTCTTCGACAGATGGTTAAGATAAGCCTGTGCCGTCTTCTGCTGTGCCGCTTTCGCCCGTGCCTCCCTCGCCAGTCCTGCTTTCGCCCGTGACGCCATCGCCTCCTGTCTGCTCTTCTCCCGTCCCGCACTCGCCAGTGCCGCCTTCTCCAGTCCAGTCTTCGCCTGTGTCGCCGTCTCCTCTGTCGCCGTCTCCTCTGTCGCCGTCTCCTCTGTCGCCGTCTCCCCTGCCGCCGTCTCCCCTGCCGCCGTCTCCCCTGCCGCCGTCTCCAACGCCCCCGTCTCCCCCGCCCCCGTCTCCCCCGCCCCCGTCTCCCCCGCCCCCGTCTCCCCCGCCCCCGTCTCCCCCGCCCCCGTCTCCCCCGCCCCCGTCTCCCCCGCCGCCGTCGCCTCTCCAGGCGCCGCTTCTCCCGGCGCCGCCTCTGCCGGCGTCGCCTCTGCCGGCGTCGCCTCTGCCGGCGTCGCCTCTGCCGGCGTCGCCTCTGCCGGCGTCGCCTCTGCCGGCGTCGCCTCTGTCGGCGTCGCCTCTGCCGGCGTCGCCTCTGCCGGCGTCGCCTCTGCCGGCGTCGCCTCTGCCGGCGTCGCCTCTGCCGGCGCCGCCTCTGCCGGCGTCGCCTCTGCCGCCGTCGCCTCTGCCGGCGCCGCCTCTGCCGGCGTCGCCTCTGCCGCCGTCGCCTCTGCCGGCGCCGCCTCTGCCGGCGCCGCCTCTGCCGGCGTCGCCTCTGCCGGCGTCGCAACTGCCGGCGTCGCCTCTGCCGGCGTCGCCTCTGCCGGCGTCGCCTCTGCCGGCGTCGCCTCTGCCGGCGCCGCCTCTGCCGGCGCCGCCTCTGCCGGCGTCGCCTCTGCCGGCGTCGCCTCTGCCGGCGTCGCCTCTGCCGGCGTCGCCTCTGCCGGCGTCGCCTCTGCCGGCGCCGCATCTGCCGGCGTCGCCTGTGCCGGCGTCGGCGTTGCCGGCATCGCCTCCGCATTCTCCCGTGCCGCGTTTTCCCGTGCCGCCGTCTCCTGTGCCGCCTTCTCCTGAGCCGCCTTCTCCTGAGCCGCCTTCTCCTGAGCCGCCTTCTCCTGAGCCGCCTTCTCCTGTGCCGCCTTCTCCTGAGCCGCCTTCTCCTGTGCCGCCTTCTCCTGAGCCGCCTTCTCTTGTGCCACCTTCTCCTGTGCCGCCGCCTTCTCCTGTGCCGCCGCCTTCTCCTGAGCCGCCGCCTTCTCCTGTGCCGCCTTCTCCTGTGCCGCCTTCTCCTGAGCCGCCTTCTCCTGAGCCGCCTTCTCCTGAGCCGCCTTCTCCTCTGCCGCCTTCGCCAGCTGCTGCTGCTTCTTGCTCTTCTTCGGCCTGCTCCGTTTATGCAATATCCGCCGCCACTCCTTCCCCACCTTCTCCTGGGGCTTCCACTCCCCAACTGCCGCCAGCATTCTCTGCTTTTCGACTTGCACGCCCACCTGCTCAGCGGCCTGAAGCTGCTCGTCGTCTATCAACTTCTCATCCCGCTGCTCCTGCTGCTGCAGTTGTCGCTGCACGAGAGCACCATCTCGGACACCCAAGTGAGCCCACGAATCGCCAGAGTCAACGTTGCCAGAAACCGAGGGCCCGAGGGAAGCTTGGACTGAGAGTCCGCCTGTGAGGGGGGCGAAAGTAGGGAGAAGTTAAGAGGCATGAGTGATGATCGACGGATTGCTTTTCGAAGAAGAGGGAAGAGGGAGCAGCTCGTGAAGCCCTTCGACAGTCAGCTCTTTAGACCACTCCGTGGATTCGCAAAGCTCTGTATCATATTTGCAGTGCTCGTAGCTCTGCCCTTTGCAATCTTGCGTTGGGCGCGCTGACGAGTGTGTGAACTTTCAAATCATTGTGAGTCTTCTCGGCGTATTCCCGAAGAAGGTCGTTAGGTCCTTCAAGTTGGAAGAGCGCGTTACATGTGCTTTCTGTTCGGCTCAAATACTACAGTCGACACACACAAAATAAAGTTATAAAAGGAAACGTCGGGGTGAGAGCAGCTTACGTCGATCGTTCTCATTGGCGGGAAGCAGCCGGCCACGAGCTCCTTCGCTGCCTCGCGGCCCGCAGGACAAGGCCAGGACGAGAAGGAATCCCAACAGCATCATAGTGACTGTCTCGCGACGAATCTGACTCTGAAGGTGGCGCTGTTGAAGTGTTGAGTAGGACTGTCGAGTCTGTTCAGTTTGCACTGCCGGTGTGGATTTTCAACACGGAAAATATAGGCACAAGGACTTACCTACGCTGCTGGGGGTTGTGAAGCGGATACTGACTGGTTCCGAATAAGCTCGAGTCGCCACCAGTAATCTCACCCCATCCCGTGACGAAATAATGCAGAGGGGCGATAATGCAGGAAAGCGATAATGCAATTCAGGAATCCGAAATGGTTAGGGCGTCGTGCAAGGTCTGCAAACAAGTCTCAGCAGTGAAAGGGTCGATTGGAAGGCTCGCGAAATGGGCTGCAACACTGCTGATTGGTTACTTCATTACGTAGCAGGAGATCCAGTCACGCTTCGTCAAAGCGAAACTGACGAAGAACCCAACTTACTTCGTGGCTCGTCGCAATTTTCGTCGGGTGTCTTGTTGAGAAAGGATTTCGCGAAGGTTCAGTCAGAAGTAATTGGAACTTCGCTGAATAAATTCTCGCTTAATTCGTAAGACAGGGTAACCATTTACAGGTCCTACAATGGACCCCGGTTCCATGACATCGACCACGTCCTGCCATGAATTATTGTGGAGGTGCAATAATGCGATGCGCTTGCGAGGCGCAACACTCGCGGTACTGGCGAAACAGACGAAATATGGGAAACGTAACAGACGTTTTCAGTCAACTTAAAGTAGAGGAAACTAATCAAACATCATTGTTATGAGTTGTAAAAGAGAGTGCGCAGGTAAACGAATAACGAGGCTGTGACTGAATGAACTGAGAATACAATGAATGCACAGACTAATGTAGGGCTAGCCTAGCTAGGAGGAAACCTCGGACGAGCGAGGTTGGGTGAAGGTTCGGCGATGGAAATGCCGAAGGCGACGCGAGGAGCCTCGGCAGCGTTGAAATCGGCCGAACGTGCGAACTCCGAAAATCGGGTTGTACGCGAAGCAGTCAACCCCGATAAGGAATTCGGGAAAATTCCTTAAACCCCCCCCCCCCCCCCCCCCCCCCCCCCCCCCCCCCCCCCCCCCCCCCCCCCTTTAAGAAAGGCGGTCAATATCCGAAACACGCCGTCGAGCCAGGTAATCACCAACAAGTGGCGAGGCGTCGAGCGAGGCGGATGGCACCCACGTGTCGTCCTCACTGGTGCGATCAGTCCAGCGGATTAAGAAATCCACGTGTCGGCCAGCTGCGTCAATCCGGACCCGATGGGCCAGAATCTTCAAAGGGTCGAGGGTCGGCTCCGGGACAGGTCGTGCTGTCGGGGCAGCTTGCTAACGTGCGATGTCGGTCATGGCTGGCACGAATTTGCGAAGAAGGCTGACATGGAAGGCGTCGTGAATACGCCAGTCGTCGGGTAGCAACAGCTTCGCGGTGACAGGTGTCACCATCTTGATAATCTTGAACGGTCCGCAAAATCGGGGCCATAGTTTTGATGGACCGGGCAGGTGCAGATTCTTCGTGTCGAGCAGTACTAATTGCCCAGTAGTCAAGACGAGTTCCCGGCGTACTTGCGGGAAGTGATATTTGCCTTGCGAATTGCGTCTGCGGCTTTTTCGCGGATGGTCTGAAGTTCCGTCACAAAAGTTTGTGACCGTGGGACTGGGTTGTCGAGCGAAGTTGCCGTGGGAACCGTCGAATCCATCCCATAATTCAGGAAAAACGGGGAATGATTAGTCGTGCTTGACGGCGCGTTGTTGAAGGCGAACTCCAACATGGCGAGGGAATCTTCCCATCATGCAGGGTCGGGGCAGTTTGTCCGTATCAGCTGCTCCATCGTCTGGTTGGTTCGCTCGGTTTGTCCGTCCGTCTGTGGGTGGTATGCCGATGAGAACTGTGGTTTCGTGCCGTACTGCGCCCACGTCTCCTTCCAAAATTTTGATGTAAACTTCGGGTCTCGGTTGCTGATGATCGCGGAAGGGAGGCCGTGCAGTCGCACGGCCGTTGAGATGAAGAGGCGCGCAGTTTCTTCGGCTGTGATTGTCGTTCGGCATGGTGCGAAGTGCGCCATTTTCGTGAAGCGATCGACGACGACGAGAACAGCGTCGTTGCCGGACGGCCCAGCTGGCATCCCCGTGACGAAATCCATCGTCACTTGCTGCCACGGTCGTTCGGGTGGCTCGAGGGGACAGGATGTCAGAATGAACGGACAGGAATGGTTGAACTAACAGTGAAATCAGTACAAGTACCTAACCCTAGAATTGTGTACCCCCTATAGGCTAACCCACTGTAGCCTAAACAACCACAACATATATAATGTTTGACACACCCCCATAGGCAAAGTGGGGGAGAGCAAGGGGTCACAAGACCAGTCAAAGCAAAGCAAAACAAGCTCAGGGTGGATCTCAAGGATACCACACAAATTCCGAGCACAAGTAAGTGGTCACAAGACCAGTTCACATGCAGGTTGATAATATAGCAAGAGATACAGTGATCACAACCTAGCAAGTGTAAACATGCAGGCATATATATAAAGATCACAGTACAAGCAGAGTCAAGAAGTAAGTAAGTGAGGTCCAGCAGGCACAAGGCCTAGAAGAGTACAGAAACGCTGATGGTCACAAGGCTGAAGCGCCTTGGTGAACACATCAGCAAGGTTGGCCTCAGTGGCCACGTAACGCAGACGTAGCTGACCACGCTGCTGCAGCTCTCGAGCAAGGAAGTACCGCAGGGCGATGTGCTTCGTTCTGTGCTTCAGTCTGTGCTCCTCACACAAGGCAATGGCAGCCTGGTTGTCGACGTACAGCACTGGAGGAGAACGAGGCCGCTCTCCCAAGTCGGTCAGCAGGTAGGTCAGCCAGCGTAGCTCTTGGGCAGCCATGGCTGTGGCGTAGATCTCAGCCTCACAACTGGAGCTGAGAACAGAAGAAGAGCGTGTAGAACGCCAAGAAACTGAGCCGGAGCCAAGGCTGAAGGTGTAACCCTGAGACGACCGCTGAGTAGCCTGGTCGTCCGCCCAAGAAGCGTCTGAGTGTCCAGTAAGTACAACTCGGTCTCGCCCTCCAAGCACTAGCCCCATGCCCGACGTACTGCACAAGTAGCGCAACACCCTCTTAGCGGCATCCATGTGCTCCTTCCGGTGACGGCCAGGAGCGACATAGCGTGCAAGGATGCTAAGAGGGTATGCAAGGTCAGGTCGAGTGCAGGTCATCAGGTACATGAGGCAGCCCACAAGCTCTGGATACGGGCCACTCGGCTCTACAGACTCATCCGAAGGCAGAGCTGAGAGCGAGTGACCGGTAGGCAGAGGAGTGGACTGAGGCGAGGAGTACGTGAAGCGGAAGCGCTGAAGGATCTGCTGCACCATGTGTGACTGAGTCAAGGTGATGGTGCGCCGTGCTCTGTCCCGGATGATCCGCAAGCCAAGATAGCTTGTCAGTTCACCCAGGTCTGTGCACGTGTGTCTCCTCTGCAGCTCCGACTTCACGTGGGCGAGTGCCGCGGTGTCAGCAGTGGCAAAGACCAAGTCGTCGACGTACACTAGGATGTAGAACGGCGGCAGCGAGGTGTCTGTGCGTAGAAATAGTGACGGGTCAGCAGTAGAGGGAGCGAACCCAAGAGCCGCAAGTGTCGTCCTCAGTGTGTCGTGCCACTCACGCGGTGCCTGGCGGAGACCGTAGACTGGCCGCTGGAGCCTCCACTGGGTACCAGGAGGAACCGACCCAGTGAAGCCAGGAGGGCGGCGCAGCCAGATCTCCTCGTGCAGGCTGCCCTGCAAGAAAGCAGTGCTGAAGTCAAGTGAGTGAAGCTCGTAGTCGCGCTGAGCGGCAACGTGCAGCAGCACCCGAAGAGTGGTCATCTTCGGGGTGGGGGAGAAGGTCTGGAAGAAGTCGACTCCCTCTCGCTGACTGAAGCCTCGAGCCACGTAGCACGCCTTGAAGACAGGAGGAGAACCCGGTGGCCGCTTCACCCTGAAAATCCACATACCACTGACGATGTTCGCCCCAGGTGGGGGAACCTCGTCAACGTAGGTGCCTGTGGACTTCCAGGAAGCCATCTCTGCGTCCATGGCTGTCTGCCACTGAGAGGAGTAGGGACCCGCCATCGCCTCAGCGTAGGTGCGCGGGGTCGGGATGTCTGGTGCATCCGGGTCTCCCTCAGGGGCAACTAGCATGGACACGAGATGGGGCAAAGCAGCAGCAAAGCACTGGAACTCCTCCTGTTTGTCCTCAAGGACGTCCGTGCCAAGAGTACACTCACCCCCGTCGGACGGAGGACAGACAGACTCAGACTCAGACTCAGCAACAAGGCTAGCGGCGTAGTCTAGACGACACCGGGCAGCAAAGTCTATCAACTCAGCGACCAGAGCAGACGCAGAAGAGGACTCAAAGGTAGGGTCAGTGACAACAGTGGCGAGAAGACGGGTGACAGTGGGACTGGCAGCACGACGGGAGTCAGACTCCGGGTCAGGAAGAGTAGGCAGAGAGGACGCAGGAGGAGACGGCAGCGGGACACGCTGAGGAGCAGTGGAGGGACGCAGAGTCATGTAGTGAGTGCCAGGGACAGGAGGAGGACGCTCACGTGGGACACGACGACCAGTGCGAGCAGTACGAACAGGCGACGCAGGACGAGACGCAGGCTCACGACGCTCTGCAAGACCTCCTGTGGGACCAGTGTAAGGAGAGGGACCAGGGAGAGGCGAGGCAGGCGGTAACTGTGACTGCGACTGGACAGGCGGAGGACACTCTACTGAGGGAGGAGGACGAGGAGGAGGAGCCTGACCAAGAACCTGCTGAAGGAGCGGCACGAAGTACGGTCGCGGCCGCGTAGCGTCTCCAGAAGCAGCAGAGACACCAGCGCTAGGGTCCTCAGCACCAGCAGCAGCTCCACCGCCCGGGTCCTCAGTACCAGCAGCAGCTCCACCGCTCGGGTCCGCAGCACCAGCAGCAGCTCCACCGCGCGGGTCCTCAGCACCAGCAGCAGCGCCACCGCTCGGGTCCTCAGCACCAGCAGGAA